CCTCCAACCTCTTCAGCAAGCTCACCTCCAAGCTGACGCGCAGGTGAGGGTGCCGGCGGGTGCTGGCACCCGTCCGGGTCTCGCTTGCCCGCCTGCCGCCGCTCACGCGCTTTTCTCTCTTCCAGGGTCACTCTTGACCCCTCTAAGCGGCAGAGCTCTAATAGGTGCGTCTCGGGTGCCACCACGCCGCAAGGAGCCAAAATCAGTAAGTGCGGCACCCATGGCACCCACCTGGCACCCATAGCACCTGCCCGGCGCTCAGGGCACCCTGCTTGGCTCCTTTCCCTTCTTTCTTTCGCTGCCTCTCGCCCTTTGCTGCGGGCACTGGGTGGGTGGTGGGACCGATGGCGCTGGCTCCAGGATGGTGGCACCGTTGGTTGGGGACAGTGCCACCCGACGTGGGGATGGCCGCCACGTGACGTAAGGATGCTGGTGGCTTCCAAAGTGGGTGTGGTCCGGGGGGGATGGTGCCACCCAACGTGGAGATGGTGCCACCCAACGTGGGGATGCTGGTGGCCCCCAAAGCGGGCATGATCCATGGGGGATGGTGCCACCTGAAATGAGGATGGTAGCCCCAACGTGGGCATGATCCATGCGGTGATGGTGCCCCGTGTGTCCCCCCCCCCCCCCAGGGTCGCAGACGAACCTGAGAGAATCGGGGGACCTGCGCTCACAAGGTAGGTGCTACCATCCCTGGGTGCCCACCCACACAGGTGGCCTCAGTGTGGGGCAGGGGACTACCCAGTGATCCCAGTGCCCAAACCCTGCCCACCCCGTGGCCACTCTGTACCCTGATGCCCACAGTGTGGCTACCCCAGACTTGCCATGGTGTCCCCGATGCCCACGCCATGCCCAACAGGTGTCCCCAGTGCCCATGCCATGCCCATCCTGATGTCTCTAATGCCCAGGCTGCGCCAAAGGCTGTCCCTGATGCCCATGCCATGCTCGTCCTGGTGTCCCTGATGTCCAGGCTGTGCCCAATGGGTGTCCTCAATGTCCATGCCCACCCTGGTGTCCCTGATGCCCATGCCATCCTCAGTGGGTGTTCCTGATGTCCAGGCTGTGCCCAGTGGGTATCCCCGATGTCCAGGCCATGCCCAACAGGTGTCCCTGATGCCCATGCTGTACCCAACAGATGTTCCTGATGCTCACCCCCATTCGGGTGTCCCCGATGCCCAGGCCGTGCCCAACGGGTGTCCCCAATGCCCATGTCCACCCTGGGGTCCTTGATGCCCATGTCCAACAGGTGTCCCCGATGCCCCACACCCACCCTGGTGTCCCCGATGCCCATGCCATGTCCAATGGGTGTCCATGATCACCACGCTGTGCCCAATGGATGCCCTTGATGTCAATGCCTGGTGTCCCCAGTGCCCATGCCATGCCCAACAGGAGTGCCCAATGCCCACCCTGGGGTCCCTGATGCCCACACCATGCCCAATGGGTGTCCCTGATGCCCGTGCTGTGCCCAACGGGTGTCCCCAATCCCATGCCCACCCTGGGGTCCCTGATGCCCATGCCCAACGGGTGTCCCCGATGCCCACGCCGTGCCCGCTTCCCCCCCCAACTCCGCAGTTGCCATCTACCTTGGGATCAAAAGGAAGCCGAACCCCGGCTGCTCCGATTTCCCTGGCATGTGAAGGTGACGAGCGCCCGGCCGGCCGAGGCAGTGCTGGCAGCGCTGCGCCAGGCTGCG